GAAGGTGAGGAGGGCCTGGGACACCACAGAGGGCCCCTTAGGTTCAACTTTAGCCTCCACTGCATTTAGCCAAGGTCTGGCCCACAGCTAACGCCTAGTTATCAGCTCAAACATTTTCCAAAACAGTCTAGGTTTCCTGGGGCACATGTCTGTGGTGGTTCCATTTGTTTCCGCGTGCGAGCTCTGGCATGTCAGGGGGGCCGTATTATTCCCGTGCCACTGAGTGCCTCCGGGCCCCAACACACCTTCCCCCCAGAACTTCCTAGGGCCAGTGCTGGGCCAGCAGAAACTCCCAAGGGTCCACCCTGGCCAATGAGGTTCAGTGGGTGGGAGGCAGTGACCTTGACCACTGAGGAGCTGGGAAGGGGAAACCATTTACTGTTCCACTGACCTACGTAGGCCGGGGCTTTCGAAACCAGCCTGGCCAGCTGCCAGGCCTGGGTGGGAACAGTGAGTGACAGGCTGGTTATTGGAAAGCTCCCATCATTAGCCCAGGAACTTTGTTTGGTTACCATGGTGACCTTCACTACACGCAGCCTGACTAAAGCCCAAAGAATCTGTTACCTAAAACCATCGCTCCACGGAGCCCATGGCTTCAGGAAGGACGCTTATCAGTGGCCTGTTCCCCTTGACCCCATACCCTGCTCCTCCCTCACTGGGCCTCCCAGCTGCCTCCGATATGCAAAACAGGAAGAAAGGACAGCAAAGACATCTCCGGGCTTGCAAAGGTCCTCTCTACATTCTGCAGCTTGGCCCAGAACCCGGGTCTGAACGGGAGCCTGCCACCCCCTCCGAGGCCCCCAGTAGGCCTGGGCCAGGGGCAGCTCGGCCAGCACATGTGTCTAGGACTTAGTCAGAAGCCCGCAGGATTTCAGGAAGCTCTTGGGGTGTCTGGTTCCTATCGTGCAAGGTTCACACTGTCCCTGCAGGGCGGTCACTCTCTGCCTCGTCACGTTTTTGCCTTTTTAAACCCGAGCTCCATTAACTAAAGGTCATCCCTCAGCACAGAAATCAAGATCCTCTTTGCTTTGCTTTCTAATCCCTGAACTCAGAAGGCTTTTCAAAAATGTTTGACTCTATGAAAGTTGGGTTTTTCTCCAGGAACCTAGAGGCTACCTGTATGGGAAGGGTGACCTCTTGCGCAGTTAAAGAGCTTAAAAACCTTTCCCCAGAGCTTCTTTCCCTGACTCTGCTCAGGGCTCAGCCTGGCCGCCTGCACCTCCCTCCAGCTCATGGCCTACCCCACATACTGCTACATTCAGGACCCAGGTAGCTTCCCCTCGCCCTCCATACTGCCTCCTTAAACACTGCTGTCCACTGGCTGAGTGACCTCTCATCTGAGTCTCCAAACAGACCTTGTAGACAGGTGGACACAGGGCAGAGGGTCATTCCCTTGGCAAATGAGGAAACAGAGGAAAGGAGAAGAAGGGCAAGCTGCTGCAGATGACACGAGTCAGTGACAGACATAACCTGAGGGGAGGAATCAGCTCACTTGGACAGGGGTCCATCCGCCCACCAGCTGCCTTCCCTATGGCAAGCCTCTCAAAGCATAGACACAGGCAAAGGCCACCCCCTTTGTCAGCTGCATTTCCACTGAGGCAGGTTCTGGGATCCAGGGCACTGAGGTCTCTGCAGAAAGAAAACACCTTTAACAGGCTTCAGTTCACCAGACAGCCCTTGGCGAAATGCCTTTAAGCATTCTCTGGATACAGTCCTTGCTGGGGACAATGGGGTCAGAGTGAAGAGGGTTTGATTTTTGTGGTTTTGCTGCTGTGATATTTACTGGACTGGTTGTTTAATTAACTGCCTTGGCAACAGCTGGAGCCACACACAGCTCGTCCCCAGTGCAGGGAGCAGCTGGGGAAGGAGGACGCAGTGTCAATTGAAGAGCAATGACATTTTCAGCAATCCCTGACCCGTAATGCACTCAATGACATTTCCCGCTAATCCCTGGGTTTCTGTACTCTGGGGTTTCATCTGTGGAGAAGAGAATTGACTTGTTTGCAAAGAGACATGGTCATACCCTATGGTCACTCACCAGAGCTAGGTAGTGGATGGATTCTCCAGCCTCTACTCAAGCCATATGTATATATATTTTTGCTTTAAACAACAAAGATTTAGTCTCTCACAGTTCTGGAGGCAGAAGCCCGTGTATTTTTTTCTAGTTAGTCTTGTAGCCTTTTAGGGCCAGCTCAGATCTAAACAGAGCTCCCCATGGTCTTGGAGATGAGGGGTTTATGGTGGCTCACGATGAAGAACCTGCTGCTGCTTCTTGCCTGTCCCCTGCCCCTGGATGAGCAGATTTGGAAAAGTGAGGCCCTACTGGGGATGAGATGCTTGGGTCCCCAAATGCTCTGCAGCTCAGCACTCTACACTGACAGGAAACAGATGAACCCCTCAATCCCTAAGGGGATGAGACTCAAATGCTCTCCTGCTGACCCCAAATGCTCTCCCGGCTGCTGGGCCCTGTCCCTGGCCCTCCAGAGCTCCAGAAGCCTCTGCAGTTGCTCTGCCATGCCCGCATGAGTGAATCGCTCCCACGGCAGAGGCCACCCCGTAAGGCTCCTGACTGCAGAAGTGGGGACACTATTTTTCTGGCAGTGCCTTGCTAGCCGCAGGGAGGCACCGGGGACAGGGGCACATTAACGAGTGGCACAGTCTGCACCAGGCCCCTCTGAGAATATATGTGCATGCGCACATGCAATGCCACAGTCCAGGCCGCCCTGCCACCATATGCCTCCTAGGGGAGTCACCGACGTCAAGGCAAGGACCCCACCCCCCAAAGACACTGTCTGTGAGTAGAGCATTTGCTGGTACAGGAGTCAGCACCAGAAGGGTGGAGGGAGGGAGGACAGGTGGGAACAAGGCAGCAGTTGTGACACACAGTCCACATGGAGAGGCACAGCTTCCCTGGGGGGAGTCAGGGAAGCGGAGGGGAAGTCCCCATGCACCACACAGACCACACTCTCTACCACTCTCTCTGCTGCTAGGGTGGCAGATTTCTAGTACAGGGAGTCAGCCAGGCCAGGGCAGGTGTGTAGGCGTGGTAGATAGCATTCAGCTCGGACGTCAGGAAGATACTCGGACCAGTAAGATGCCACATGCTGGCAGGGAAAGGCCCCCTCAGCTGGATCCCAGGTCTAAGGAGGGACCAAGGGGGCAGATGCCTTCTGCTTGACTACTTATTTCCACGGAACTGTAACTGACAAGAGCACACGTGCATGCACACACACATACAAACACACCACACACACCAGCAGCAGTGGGCCAGACAGGGGTGCGGGTGGAGTGTGGAACCATAACCTGGCAGTGGGAGTGAAGAACCTTGGTGTTCTTGGAGTTTAAGATAAAGTGCTATTACCCCTACTGCTGGGCCGTGCCTGGATCAATGAGACAAGGTGTGCCATCCCTTATCTACACACACACTGCTGTCCATGTCTGGATTCCCTAATAAGCTATCTGCCTTTCAAAGCGAAATTATTCCCATTTTAACAGTCTCTCAAATGCTGGGTCAAAGGTCAGGATCAGGGAAATTCCTCGAACACAAGAACACAAAGGACGGGCTCTGTCAATTTGGCTGTGCACTATGCTTACACCTGGCTGTGAGTGGCGAGCACCTGCCTGAGCCAGGGTGGCAGGAGAATAGGTGGAGTTGGGAGTCCTGGTGCTGTAGGGGAGGGCGAGTCTGGATAGGGCAAGCAGGGGAGACTCAGGGGCCCTGGGCTGCAGACCAGCTGACCAGCAGGATGAGTCTGTGGGGCTCCCTTCCTCAGTGAGGGGCATTATGGAGTTTAAATTTAGGAAACTCTGCCACTCCTAAAGCACCTTTCTTTGGCCTTGATTAGGAGGAAGCAACCACCCCCAGCAGTCTTTAGCACCCTGGCCAAGGCCACAAGCTAAACTGTCTACAGCATCCTCTGAAGGAGGTCAAGAGTAGAGGTTAAAACCCAGGCCAGGCCCCCGTGGTCAGCCCTGTCTCTGAAGGGGTAGACTTGTACAGAGGTGGAAGCCCAGGTTCCCTCTGTGAAGGGAACCTCCCTGAGAATGAACAACGACAGTTTTCCTGTCACCCATCAACACCGAGATACCCACCAATTTTCCCTAATTCTTTATGAACCTGTTTATACTCCCAGCATGAGTCACCTCTCAGGGTAACCAGGACCCCAGCTTCTTCCTACTGTCTTCAGAGGGATAGCCTCGGACTGGTTCTAAATGGGGTTTTCCTTCACACCCCAAGGAGGAATGAGGTGGGAGTGAGGTGCTTAGGGGCCCTTTACTTGGGATCACAAAACCTGAGACACAAAACCTGCTACATCCAGTGTCACCTGCCCCTGAGTGGAGGAGGAAAGAAATCAAATGACAGCCTCCCTCTACTTCCCTTCCACCGAGCAATGCACCCTCCTGTCTTGGCTGGCCCAGCACAGCTTTGTACCTAGTGTGCTGGAAGGCTGGCAGCAGGTCCCCTGTGCAGAAGTCCTGCCTCACTCACCACCACCTGGGCCAAGTACAATTTGAATCCTGCTCTGAGAAGAGGGGCATCTGGCTGATGCAGTAAACGAGGGTATCAGAGTGAGAGGAGCAGGACTTCCCTGGGGAGAAATAACCCCCACCTGCCAGCAAAGGGGAGGGAATTGCCGGCTTGGAGGCAGGGGATGGCTCCCTTGGCCTCAGTGAGCCCAGCCAGAGTTAGAATCTCACCCTGGCTGGCTGCATCAGGTCTATGATTAAGTTACATAAGTTGGTGTCCTCCTGGGGCTCATGCAGAGCCTGGTATGGTGGCAGCAGCTGTTGCATTTAGGCAATCCATGTACCACCACTCGCTATTGGGGGTGAGGAGCAGGCGAGGCCTCTCATACTCCACCCAGCCCCTCCTGGTACAGAATACCACAGCCATCTGCCAACCCTACAGGTCCTCATCCCCTTGTCTTTCCACCCAGGCAGTATGCCTGTAGTGATGGCCATACCCCCTCTCCAGCCTGGAGTGTCCCCCAGGCACTCACTTGAAGTTCTCAGGGTGCTCGGTGATGGCCATGTTGACAATGTCCAGGGCGTGCTGGTGATGCTTCTGGGCAGAAAAGAGCAGCGCCAGCAGGTGGAGGGCATGGGCATCATCCCTGTACACCTTCAGGGCCTCCTGCAGCTGGTCCATGGCATTGGAGATCTGCCAAAAGAACCGCCAGCTCAGTGCCCTCCCCAGCTGCACACTGCCCCTGGCCTGTGAGGGTGCCCAGGCTCAACTTAAGGAATCCCCTCCAGGCACTGGGGCAGGGAATGCTGCTGCACAAAAACACATCACCAGATAGCCTGGCAAGGAGGGTCTGCTGTCCTGCCCAGGGAGAGAAGAGCAGGTCCAGGGTGCAAAACAGAGGACTGGAGCAGATGCTAGGAAGCACTTCCTAAATCTGAGGCATGGGAGCCACCAGAGGAGGCAGAGAGGCTCCTGGCGCGCTGCTGGCAGGTCAGGAGTCTTGCCGGGAGGGAAGGGAAAGGCCAAAAGGGGAGCTCCTGGCTGGAGGTTGACCACCAGTCATCCAATGCCCTGGCTGCTTGACTACCAGTCATCCAATGCCCCTACCTCTCTGAATTCCGTTTCCTTATCTGCAAATTAGGCATCTGGGTGCAAATGAACAGGCTTGTTTATCTCCTGCCCCTTCTGAGTTTCCAAACTCCTCACCTTGAGAGGACCAGCACTGCAGAGTCAGCAGGCGGGCAACCCAGTTGTTCTCACAGGCTGCTACACCTGTGCCGGGTAAATAAGGGGTCCCCGGTCAAGGCCAGCCTCTGCTTGTGCCGTGGGTTCAGGGGAGTGGCAGGGCCTAGTGGACCACCATCTCCTCCTCATCTCCCACTCCTGACACCTCCAGTCTGGCCTGATTCTCATGTCACTCATCTCCTCTGCCCCCAAACTGCTGCTTCATTGGTGGCACCCTTGGCTCAAGGCTCTGCATCCTGTAGAAAGGTAGGTCTCCTCCTTGTCCTCCCTCAACTGTCTGGCCCCTGGCAGGTGTAGAGGCTGTGACAGGTATGGACAGAGACAGGGCTGAGAGAAGACCCTGCAGCAGGCTGGAGGGTGGGGGAGGCCTGGTCGTGTGACAGACATTCTGCTATTTACAGACCCAGAGCTGACCAGGTGCTGTTTTCAGAATCTGTCCACATGCTGATGTGGAAAAACCGCCTGATGTGTGACTGACAGATACATCGCCCTAACTACTCCTAGGCTTATGGTGGCAAAAGCTCCGGCTCTGGGGTCAGGCTGGGCCATGGCTTCCCGCTCTGCCTCTTTGAGCTGGCACCTTAGGGCAAAGGGGATGACCTCTCTGAGCTGTAGTTCCTCTGCTATAAAATGAGGATATTGGCTATGACGATGACACTGGATGAAGGATGTCCTGCAAAGCACTGGCTAACACTTAAAAGTGTGTGTTTCCCTCTTCATGCCCCCAAACCCAGGCAGTCAAGGAATAGGCCCAATTCTTCCAGTCCTGAGACACTTGCTGCTTCATGCTCTCCGGCATGTGAGGTGCGTTAGCTCCCCTGTCTCCAGCTACATCAGCATGCCATCTTCTCAGGAACCTCATGAGTCTTTCTTAAGTCTTGCTCCTTAGCAAACCTCAGACACCAGCCTCCCAGGTTCCTACTGTGGTCTCAGCTCCAGCCTGGCCTCTGAGTAAGCTGTGGGCACTAGTACCAGGCTCAGAGTGCTTCCATGGGGACCTTACTTTGTGGGTAGGTCAAGGAAAAGTAAGAAGAGGACTCTAAGGTCAGTGTGGCCACTAATTCAGCTTGCCTGTGCCTCCCTGAGGCTGGCCCTGCCTTGGTGATTCTGCCAAAGCAGACCCCACATTACCCTTGGCTGTACATCACCATGCGGGGCAGCTAGATGTGATCTGGGCAGGACGTGTGGGCTGGGGGAGCCTCAGAGACCTAGGCAGGCAAGGACTTTGTCTTAGAGCCCATTCAGGGGATTCTCAACCCCTTAAGGTCACAAGACCTGAATCTACAAGGAAACCAGGCACCAGGCTCCACTGGCCTGGCCCAGCTATCTCTCTGGGAGAATAGACACTATTCATTAGGATGGGTGAATAATTAAACAGGTTAAAAAATGCATCACCAAGGGTTTATCATTAACTTGATTGGCAAGAAAGGCATAGCTTCTTTTACAAAGGGCTAAAAATAAAGCGGTCTCAGGTATCTTTCAGTTGGTGTTCCTGGGAGCAGTGATGCTCCTGGAGAGAAGGGCCCTGAGGGGCCCAGTGCCCCATCCAGGAGTGGAGTCAGGCATGGGCACAATGAGGGTGGGCCGGATTGGGGTACAGCCTGGAGATGCAGGAGGAGGGCAAGAGGAAGGGTGAGAAGCAGCAAGTGACAGCGGGAATAACAGCAGGGCTACTGGGGAGAAAATGGCGAAGACAGAAGGACGTGCAGAGGGAGACAGAATGACTCAGAAGCAGAGTGACAAGTCAGGTCAGGATAGATGAGAGTCTAGACACGGAGTGAGAGGGTCTTGGCACTGAACATAAGCACATGATGGGAAGTGGAGCCAGGCCAGGGTGGGGCGAGAGGGGAAGGTGAGGCAAAGTGAGGAGCCAGCTGCCCCAAAGGCAGAAGGAATCTCACTCAGTTAACTGAAGGAGGTTGAGGGTTGACCCTGACCTGTGAGGCCAACCTCCTGGCCAGCAGACAGGACTCCAGGGCCCCATGTCCAGAAGGTCAAGGGAAAGTTTTCTTCCCTAGGCTGGGTGGGCTGTGAACCAGAGGCCTGCGTTTCCTTAGGTATAAAAGAGGGCCACTGTGGCCCACCAGCTCAGAAGGTAAGGATCCTCCAGGGGCCAGAGGCTATGCCCACATCATCTGACTTCATCCTCATGTGACAGATAAGGAAACAGACTCAGAGAGGTTAAGTCGTTTACAGGGGTCACACAGCTGGTAAGCAGATATGGCAGAAGCTTAGCAGTCCCTGGGGAGCTAGAGGTAGGAACTTTGACAACCTACCTGCCGAACGAGGGCCAGCTGCAGGGAGACATAGAGGATGACCTGGGGATCGTCGGGTGCTAGCTGCTGGGCTCTGTGTGGGGAGAGTGAGTGATAAGTCAGTCACTGAGGGTTAAGCCACCAGCGTGTGACCCAGGCCTCCAGCACACCAGCCCTGTGTTGGGCGCTCTGGGGCAGTGTGCTGTCTGCCAGACCCTGCCTTGGAGGGAGACCTGTCTGGGAGAGGAAGGCTCAGGCAGGAGGCCCACAAGCAGCCTGAGGCAGGAACAGTGGCTCTGGGAGGGCTGCATTAGCTGAGCTAGGGGCTATCTGGAAGGGGAACCCAGAGGTGGCAGACCCCAAGATGGGTAGGGACAGGGTAGGAAAGAAGTGCTGGTGTGGGAGAGAGGGAGAGCCACTCCTCTGTTCCCAGAGGGGCCAGGACTGGGATCTCCCCTACCCTAGTTTGGGGACAACCTGCCCCAGATGGGCTTGAGTGATACGTACTCTGATGAAGGTGGCATAGGAGTTGGGGCCTGGCTCTACATACAGCACTGGTTGGGGGGAGCCGGGTAGTATGGAGGGTACAGCCCTTCATAAGGTGCCTCTCCTCCTTCCCTGACACTGGGCTCCCAGAAAATGTAAGTAAGGCCTAGGGGTGGCTTGGGGAGGGGCCGGAAGGAGGCAAATAGCATTTCTGAGCCCCTGCCACATGGAGGACACTGTGCCAGGGGCTTTTCCTGCTTTATTTTGTGTAACTGTCACAACAGCAAGAGGTGACTATGTCCCTCTCAGAGTCCTGAGCCCAGCAGAGTGGGTGCTGAGGCTGGTGGCTGCTGTGGCCCCAGCTTCTCATCGATAGGGGGGCTCCATCACTGTGAAAGGCCAGAGCTGAGGGCAGGGCAGCTGCCCACCTGACCCCAAAAGCCTGTCCCTGTTTGTTGTGTGTAATTTCCATACCCATAAAACAGAGATAGAAACCTCTGTTCTTCCAATCAGAGGGTCCAGTGAGATAATAAAGCATGTGAATATGCCACCTGATGCCACCAAAGGCAAGAGGGGCCTCTGCTGTGAACAGTCTCCTCACCTCTCCAGCGTCTCCAGTGCCTTCCTGTGTAGCTCATCTTGCCTGACCTTCAGGGTGGCTGCAGGAGACAGGACAGAGAACAAGCCATCAGGGTCACTGAACAGTGTCCCATTCCCCAGAGACACAGCTGTGCAGGGAGAGGCCCCTCCAGGGTCCCATCTGCAGGACCCAACTCCAGTAGTCTGGGCCAACACTGGCTCTGCGGGGCCCTGGCCTCCTAGTACATCTGTTCGCATGCAGGTTGCTCCTACCCACTGCCTTCTACCTGGGCCAAGCCAACCCTTCCACAACACAGATGTCCCACCAAGGAGGTCCAAGCCGTGAGACAAAGGCCACCACTTCTGCCTAGCCACATGCCTTCCTGGGCTGAGGCTACTTGCTTTAACACAAATCAGGAACCTTTCTGGTAAGTTGGATCCTACTTTAAATGAAGCAGCCCAGCACCCTTAGCTTTGGCTGCCTCTGAATCACCTGGTAAGCTTTAACAGGATTGTATCCAGAACCCAACCCCAGACCAGATTAGAATCTGCAGTGAGGACCAGGCTTTGATAGCTGTTAGAGCTCCCAGCTTAGAAAGCTTAGAAAGCAATTGCTGTTTGCAGAGGGTTAAAGGCACAAGGAGAATGTTTTGGTAACAGCAGACTTTGATAAAGGGACTCGAAAGGCATGTAGAGACCCAGGTGTTCACCAGGCAGGGCTCACTGATACCTGCAGACACAGTGACAGCCATTGATAAAGGTGGGGAGCCAGCATTATACTGCGCCCTCATATGGCTTCCTCCGCTCTTTGCACAGTCAGACTGTGCAGGGCCTCGGAGGCTGGGTGCAAAGCAAACTCCCTGCACACAGCCCCACTCCCAGGGGCTGGCACTTGAGGCAGGTGGGCTGATTACTACCCCAGGTTTGGTCCAGGTGGAGCTCATTGCTCCCCAACCCTCAAGTTGCAAGGATACAAAAGTAGGAGCTGTCTGATGGATTCAGGTGAGGCACATGGCTGAGCAGGTAGGAGGGCTAGAGAAAGTCAGGCTTGGGGAAGGAAGGAGTAGACCAGTAGTTATCAAGCACTTGCTGTGTATCCAGTCCTATGCCACATGCTGAGGAGAATTAAAAAGACTCCAGAAGATCACGGCAGTGATAAGGGTAAAGGCAGGACCATAGAACCAGAATGCAGACACCATGGGGATGAAGGCTGATGGCGCATTACAGATAAAGTGCTAGGAGTTCCACAGAGATTGGCAAATGCTTGCTGGAGTGGAGGCTAGCCTGGAAGTGGGGGAGTAACTGGGTCCATGAAGAAGACAGAGGAGGGCATGTCTGAGAGTGAAAATGAGAGTAGGGTGTGTATGTGTGTGCACATATATATGGGTGTCTCTCTCAGAGGATTATATGGTGCTACTGGGGCATTGGTGGAAAGCATTTAGGAAACCTGGGCCACCCCCACACTGAGGCCTCACAGAGCCTGGCACTCACCATCTGTAGCCTGCAGGCTGTAGGTGAGACCCAGTGCCAGGTAGCCCTTGGGGAGGAACTCCCCGGCTTCTTCCCCGAGGCCAATCACCATCGTGGCAAACTGCTCCGCTTCCTCCAGCTGCAAAGAGGAGAGGCAGAGGTCATGAGGTGTGTGGCTCTGCTGCCCCCAGCATGGCAGGCAACTCACAATCACCAGCCCAGGACACTGCTGGGCAGGTCTAGGCAAGATCCACAATTCCGTGCATGTGGATGGCATGACCAGAGAGGCCAGAGTCTTGTCCAAGGTCACACAACCACTGAGCAAAAGAAACAGAGCTGTTTCCTTTACCTGTTGACTCCTTATACCTGTTCCCCCACAGAGGGATGTTTCCCTTGTCCCAGAGAGCCCAGCTCTCCAAAACTTGTTTTGCTGAGAACACAAACCCAAGACCAGGCCCATGTGTGCCAGGTCCTTCCCTCATGTGGCCTCCGTGGAGGGCTGTATCTGTCAGGCTCTGCTCAGCAAAGAGGGGAGCCAGAGCTGGGAGCTGGCTGGGCTCTGGGGCTGGGCCTGAGGAGCATGTGCCTTGCTGGACGCCACAGCCCCTGAGTGGGCAGGATGCCACTATGGCTCTGTCTGTGATCTCACTCCCTCACTGAGACAAGGAGCTCAGACTTTCAGGGGAAAAAGGCCCAGGGCTGTTTTTGTCCTGGGAGCTGGAGAGATTGTTTCAGGTGGAAAAGGACCAACTAGTGCAGGTCATGTGTGCTCACATCATCATGCGTAACACAGGACACGGAGAGAGAGGCACACACGAGGCAGGCCTCATGAACACCCTGGGGCACCCACAGCATCAGGCCAGTTGGAGGTTCAGAGGACAGTTGGGGGTCTCAGCCATGCCCATTCACAGCACACATGCCTCCAAGAAGAGCCCTCTCCCTCCCACCTGACCCAGGAAATGTCATCTGCCCATGTGCCTGACATGGCAGCATGCCCAAGTCCATGTCACTGGGCACACTAGTTTCCAGAGAGGGCAGGGATGCTTCCTCTGTCATGAAGATTGACTCTAGCCCACAGCAAAGGGCTGAATGCATCATACTCAAACCCTCCAGTGTCCCCATGACATCAAAGCCTCCTAACCATGGGCATCAGAGGCTCACACAATCAACTGGGGAATAACATTCAAACCCAGGTTGGCTTCTGGCACCAAAGCCAATTTCCCTCTATCTATACCTGACCCTGGGTAGGAAGGGGGGCAATGGAGTCTCCCTGGAGTTAGGATCTGTGATCCTTAGACAGAGGCCATGAGCTATGGGGAGGCAAGTTGAGTTGAGTGTACTGTTTGGGCACAGCCACAGTGAGCTACATGTAAACAAAGGGACTAAAGGAGCAGAGAACTTATCATGCAGAGAGGGGAAAATATAACCAGAAGAACTGAGTGGCCCAGAGAGAGGTGGTGGGAGGGGCGCCTGTCCACCCTCCTTGTCCCCAGTCACAGGCAGGTGGGAGGCTGTCACCATGAGGAAGAGGAGGCTGGGGAGCTGGGCTGTGCCTTTAGCAGCATCAGGCTCAAGGTCCTGGGTCTCAGGGAAGCTGCAGCTGGGCTAACCCCACAGTTGCCTGTTGTTCAGCTTCAGCTGACCATAGACGCTAAGATCTGTTCCTGGACCCCCTGGCCCAGCAGGACTCAGGACCTGCCCGCAGTCAGAGCATGTGTAGAGGACGTGCTGGAAGACAAGCCCCAGCACAGGTTTCAATCCCGGCTCAGCACCCGACAGCCACAGGAGCAAGTCACTCAGTATCTGTGTCCTGAAGGTCTCCATCTGCAAACTGGGGGGTCAGGCCCCCTCATTCCTCCCTCTTCCTTCCCCAGGCTCTGTGCTGGAGGCACGGACTACACAGGACAAAGGGCATTGAATTAAGGCAGGGCCACTGAGCTTCAAGAGAGGCAGCCAGGTGGCTGGGCAGAGGTGGGACAGGAAGTAACAAGGGAGGTAAAAGTGAGTGCAAAGCACCTTCATCCGTTCCCAACACACCACTGGCTGACCTGGCGTATCGCACACACTATCTCAGACATTATGCTCCATTCAAACAGGAATGCGCTTTCTTATAAATCACCAAGCACAGTTAAAAAAAGAATCCATTGCTTCATCATGTGGGCAAAAGGAGAAAAAAGAAAAAAAAAAAGAATCCAGACACCCACCATACTCCATGCATATGTACTTTTCCTACGACCATGTCCTTCTACTCAGCAAATGACAGCTTCTACCTCCTGCAACCTATGCACAGAAGGCATCAGGAACAAGGCTCAGCAAATACTGGCAAGAGGACAAAGCTACCCTCTGGTTTGTATACATCATATTTTGAATTAATAGAGTTCATTATCCTTTAGCTTTAAAAAGTGAAAACATACATCCTTTGTTTGTCAGACGTGTGATCCACTCTGACCTCCAGATCTATAACCTTCCACGGCAGTGCTTGCAAGCACTGTCCACATAGTTTAAAATGGTCTCCAAGCACGGTGTTGCTATTTGCCTCAAATCAAAATCACAAGAGTCAATGTACCATTTCTCTACATAGCTACCTCCATTTCGATTCCTATTACCGTGCCACCAAGCAGGCTTTTTGCATGTGGAGTCATTGCAGTGATTATGAAGGAAGACAAGCATTATCAATTCTATTAAGTAACAATATACAACATGATAGCACATTAGTATGAATAAACCTGAGTGTTCTAAGTAGCTGGCAAAAGGAAAGAACACTGTAACAGCAAAAAAATTTTTTAAATAAAAAACAATTTTATAATGTACCATTCCCCTTCTTCTAAGACAAGAGTGGAAGTCCTAAAGCTTTGTGAACTTGATTCTGCCACCTCTGTTCCCAAGTACTACAATCCCACCCAGTGCCAGACTTGGCCCCACACCTATGAACAAGCTCCTCATGCACAGAGGCCGGCAGCCAGGCAGCTGGACTACTCGGGCCCCCGTGCTGGTCTGGTCACTCACTAACCTTGAGTGAGTCACTTCGTTTTGCTGTGCCTCTTCCCTTCTTCTGTAAAAGAGGGATAACAACATTGTCTCCCTTATGAAGTAGCTGGGGGGACTAAGTGAGCTGAGCCATGGTGAATGCTCAGAGCAGGGCTTGAAAAAAATGGAAACTATTATATAAACGTTCATATATGTAAATTACAACCAATGTACACAATGTCTGTGTGTGTGTGTGTTTACTTGTACAGCGACAGCTCTAAGGTCATCCCAGAGAAAGGGTCAGAGAAAAGAAACATGAAAAACTACAGAGGGTGGCTGTAGAGTTACAAAATTGCTTTGAAGGGTGGTCTAGGTGTTGGTACACAGCTGCCCAAGAGGAGTACCTTGAAGGTGACCATAGTGATACTCAGCAATGAGGTATGAAATCCATTTTTTTTTTTTTTTTAGAGACAGAGTCTCACTTTGTCAACCTCAGTAGAGTATGTGGTGTCACAGCTCACAGCAACCTCCAACACCTGGGCTTAGGCGATTCTCTTGCCTCAGCCTCCTGAGTAGCTGGGACTACAGGCGTCTGCCACAACACCCGGCTATTTTCTTGCTGCAGTTTGGCTGGGGCTGGGTTAGAACCCGCCACCCACGGTATATGGGGAGGGTGCCCTATCCACTGAGCCACAGGTGCCGCCCTATTTCAATTAAAAAAAAAAAAAGAATTCTATTTCACCAGCTAATGGGCTGCCACCTGTGGTGTGAAAACATTGTACTAATGAGATGGCTGCTGAGGGGCCTGACACCTGTCCTTCTGCAACTGCCCTGGCCATCTTCCTCCTGCCTGGCACCTCATGCGCCCTCTCTAGTCTCCAGACACTTCCTCCTGGTTAACAGCTGGTGGCTGCTTAGTGGGGGCTGCAGCTTCTGCAACAAGCTCAGGTTACAGCTCTGGGCCCTCCTTGCTCATCAAAATACTTGGAGCGTTGGGGGAGTGGCAGAGTTTTTTCCAACTTTCCTCCTCCTGGAGACCACTACTCTTTAATACTGTCTTTACCAAGGGCAGTAATGTAACCTTGCCATGAAATCCCAGGTGAAGATGCTCCTTCACTTTCTCCTTTAAAAATCTAGAGTGATTGAGAGCATTGTCACAGTAAGGTAGCTGTGGCACTGTGACAATGAAACTCCTCTAAGGCACAAGGAGCAGAAGTGGCCTATCCAAGGTCACCCACCTAGGAAGTGGCAGAACCGTGTTTCCAACCCAGGTCTCCTGATTCTAAATCTGCCTCGTCCAAGCCACCCTCTGTAGTTTTTCATGTTTCTTCTCTCTGACCCTTTGAAAAAGGACGCATTGAAGGGTATAATGCTTTGATCCATTGTTTTTGTGTTACGTAAGCAAGAAAAAATTTCCTGTGATGTCACAAGCTCCTGTACCTCCCCAGTTTCCCTAATTTGGTCCCTATACAGCCTGGCTCCCTGCTCACAAGCTTTGCTGGTGCCCAGGGTGGCCTCCCATCTCAGGAGCTGCCTCACTCGCCTTGCAGTGAGCCAAAGAGCCTTGGATAGGCACCCTCTTCCTCTCTTCCTGGGAACTGAAGGAAGTTCATTTCTGAGCCTGCAGAGTTTGGTTTAAAGAGCACCCCCAATTTCTCCTTAGTTCCCTCCCACAGAGCCCGGCACCTACTGTTAGCTGCTCAACTGAAAATCCGCTTGTTTCTTCCTGGGAGGAGTAGGTGCTCTAATTTCTACAAGCTGGTGGCATTCTTTCTTCCTACCTCATAAATACTTAATCCATCTTCCTGGCTCTGCCCACCTTGAATTTGAAAAATGAAGGCAAACAACATAAAGGCACATCTTTTCTGAGTGCCTGTTATTTTGAAGGAGCTGTAAGAGTGACATTTATCAGATAAATAAAGCAAGGATACACCTCCTCTCATCTGTGATGTTCACAAGCACCAAGTAATGGCGGACGTTGATTGTTTCTATTTTACAGATAAGGAAACTCAGGCACAGAGAGGTTGAGTTACCCCCACAAAATCACACAGCTAGTGAGTGGACAGGGATCTGTCTCCAAAGCCTACGGTCTTCCCACTACCTCCTACTGCCCCTATCACCCCTGGAAAGAGGTGAGAGATGACATCCAGACCTTTCTAAAGATGAGCACACCCCACTTTTCCATTTCTCAACCTCCTAGCCTGTCTCTGTGTGACACATGACACATGCACACTCCACCCTCTCTGCCTCCTATAGAGGTTTCAACATTTTAAATGAAATGAACCTTAAATAACTGTGTTTGGAGGGATACTAAAAAACGTTTACATCTCCCTTTCCTCCTGCTACAGAAATGGGGACCCTGGCAGGGAGCTGGCCACGTCAAGGCAGGAGGCTGCTTCCTAGGCCACTCTGGTTTCAGTGCTGATGTCACTGGGTCAGAGCCTGGGAAACCCTCCCCCACTCAGGGGAGCCTCAGGCGAAGACCCGGGACCAGTGCCCTCCTACCCCAAACCCAACCCTGCTTAGCTACTCCCACACTGCCCCAAACCTCCATGTCAGCCAGCACGTGACCACGCAAGTTCCTCTGCCTGGTCCCTACCCCGGGGTACCCTTGCTCTTAGACCTAGACCTGCCCAGGGTGTCCCACAGGGGCTCCAGGCATGAGGACAGGATACAGGGACAACAGGTGCTCCGCCTCTGGGCACATGGCCACCCAGTGTGGCCACCCAGTCTGGTTTCACCTAGCACAACTCGTTTTTCAAATGTTCCAGTTTCAGCCTCCCTTCTGACAACCCAGGCCAAAATGTCCACCCCCAGATATCTGTCCTCTGCTCATGAGCCTTGGCTAGATGATAGCTGGGCCTGGTGGGGGCTGACCTGCGTCAGAATAGCTGTGAAGGCAGGAGACCAAGGAGTGTCACATCTGTGCCCTGTGTCATGTACTGACATGTTTGGCTCACCAGTCAGACCCATCCTTCTGCAGTGGGCCTCAGGAACAGAGAGTACTGAGCTGCCCTTCTCCTAGCTTCCCTGGACACAGGCTGCCCTTGGCTACCCCATAACTAACCCTGGGAGTGAGAAGCAGCCACAGAGCACAGGAAGAACGCCTGAACCAAATGTAGATCTCCCATCCTGTCTTTTCCTGGCCAGATGGAGTATGTGCTGCTTTCTCAGTTACTCGTAATACCCACTGTGTGCACGCAGGACAGGGTAAGTGAAGGAGCTCCCCATCTGGCAGGGAAGACGTGTACCACACCAGGCAGACGCCATCATCAAGTGCATGTGCCCACCTGCTAGTAGGCTCCAATCAACAAGCACCAGGTGCTGAATTCCTGTCCTGGGTCTCAAGGAAGAGACAGAGACAATTCCTGCCCTCAAGAAGCATAGATGGCTTGACACCCATAGCACAGTGGTTATGGCGCCAGCCACATACAACAAAGGTGGTAGGTTCGAACCCAGCCCAGGCCAGCTAAACAACAAATGACAACTGCAACAAAAAATAGCTGGACATTGTGGCAGGCCCCTGTAGTCCCAGCTACTTGAGACTCTGTCTCAAAAAAAAAAAAAAAAAATGAAGCACAGATGGTCACAAGGTACCAAGATCCATGTCCAAGGCAGGCACAAGTGGGGCTTCAGGAGGCAAAAGGGTGAGGCTTCCAGATTAGGAATAACTGCAAGGAGCCCAACCCCAGCCTGCCAGCAGGATCTCGCTCTAACCTGTGCCTGATTTAAACCCTGGCTCAAACCAGCCCCAAAACCCAAATATGCTGCTCAGCTGAAGTTAAACAGCTCACCCTTCTCCCCGATTCCCATGACAAGTCTGCATGTTTAAGTTTCCTTTTGAGCTTTTCTATTTATGTTGTCATTGATTACTTTGCTCCTAACTCATCTGATTTCAATTTGGACTGATTTGATCCTAATTTTATTACCATGTAATCTGAATGCACATAATTACTGTAATTATGCTGCTGAGGGAAACAGCTCCTCCATGGTGGGAAGACCTAAATTTAGGGCTTCCTGGCAAGGGCAGCCGTTGGCTGGGTGGACCTGTAGCTACCTCGGAGCTGGCAGCCTTGAGTGCACAGATGCCCTCCCCCGCCCACCCCCAGAGACGGGTATTTTGGGCTTTGTCCCAGTGATGAGCTTGAGGGTCCCCTCTGAAGCCCTAAGAGCAAGCAGGGGTCTGAGCTGGGTTTGGGAAGCCAACCCCTCTGCATGCCCCAGTTCCTACCACCACCCTGCTGTGTGTGCTCAGCAGCCACGTGCCAATGACACCCCAGTGCTTGCTGACTAGGGAGCCCTATCTAAGACCTGGGGAGGAAAGGGGTTCCCTGATACAGGGCTAGGGATCACAGCTGTGATGGGAGGGCCTGCTTCTGGCCTGTGGATGCTCCCCTGCCCTCTAAACCCAATCCCAATACTCCTTCTCCATAAAGCCTCCCTGAGGAAACTGAGGCATGGTGAGCTTATGTACCTTACTCAAGAACACCAAAGAGTAGGCAGTGAAAAGCTCTTAACCACTCCATCAAGATGCCCCTTCCAAAAAAGCCTAGAACCTGGCTCGGCGCCCATGCTCAGTGGTTAGGGCGCCAGCCACATGCACTGGTGCTGGTGGGTTCGAACCCGACCAGGACCTGCTAAAACAGCAATAACAAAAAAATACCCGGGTGTTATGGCAGGTGCCTATAGTTCTAGCCACTTGGGAGGGCTGAAGCAAGAGAATTGCTTAAGCCCAAGAGTTTGAAGTTGCTGTGAGCTGTGACGCCACAGCGCTCTACCAAGGGTGACACACTGAGACACTGTCTCAAAAAAAAATGTCTAGAGCCCATGACACAATCAATCTGCTGCAGTTCTCCCAACCTGAAGAAGACCATAGGGCAGAAGCCATGCTTTCCTTTCCTCCCAACAATACACAGCAGGGAGAAGGTCTGATGACCAGCTAGACAAAGAGAAAGTGCTGTTTTCACCCAGGCTCCTTGTGCTAGGGAGTCAGTCCCCATACCAGAGAAAAGGCAAGACCTACTACGTTGGCCAGGTGGGCACCCAGCAGAGGGAAGGGGCTGGTCTCCAGTCCTCATGAAGAAGGGTTAGAACACAGAATTTACACGGAGCTTCCCGTCTCCTTTCCCAGGGCATGTGGTTAGTCTGTTGCAAGCCCAAGGAGGGGAGAGTGGCAAGAAGATTTATAAAGGCTAATAATTATGAAGCACATACCATATGCACCTAAAATCTGGCCTTTAATGCCTCAGAACAAGCTGGGCCCATGATAGCGAGGGGTGAACTGGGATTGTCAGGCCAACAGGAAGACGGAATGGAGAGTGTGGGCCCAGAGGAGTGTACGGTAGGGGCTGATGGCATGTGTTCTTTGTCACTTGAGAGGGTACAAACAGGAATACTTCTGACATCAGGAGGCTGACTAGGACTTAAGAAACCCAAGACTGTCTAGAAGTGAGCCAGTTAGAAGAGATATTTGTGCAGAGGTGCCAGCCTTGGAGCCAGGTGTGGCCCAAGAGCCCTCACTGTCCTGAAGCTCGGGGGTCCTGGCCCTGTACTCCTTCACTGCCCTAAGGTGCTGATTTTGTAGGGGTCTGGGGGAGTGTGCAGAATGGCTGCCAGTGAAGGAGAGGGACATCTTGAGCTATAGCCTCCTAATAGCCTGGCTGCCCAGGCTGTTAGGACCTGGTAGGCTTCAGCCAAAAGGAAAGAGAGAAGCTGACAGAAAAGGCCACTTTCCCGTCCTGCCCAGAGCTGAACCTGCCCACTCAGAATCATGGCCCTTACAGACTGGATGTCAGGGCAACTGAAGCCCCTGAAATGACTGGGCTTACCAGTCATTTCTCCATGGTCTTACCCTCTACCCTGCTGCAGGGCCCTCTACTTCCCCTACATCTACTCTCTGGAGATCACAATTCAAGGCTGAACTGCAAACCAGATGCCCTCCTGAGTCAGGGTCCTGCTGCTGGAGTCTGAGCTCCAGTTTGTCAGATCCCTTCTCCCTGCCCCAGGCCCATCTGTCTCGAAGCTCCCCCTGTCCCCCACAGCACGCACCCTCACCACACACCAAGATGAGCACAGCCCAGCTCATACCACCTGCTACCACTCTGCCACGGCAGCTCACTCACCCAGTGCAGAGACCCAATGCAGACCTTGGCAGCCATCAGAGGTATGGTGGGATCTGAGGGCCGCAGCTTCATACACTCTCGCAGCAGGGACACGGCATAGGCTGACTGCAGAAGAAAAAGCAGGAAACACGCTGAGGGCCTCATGCCTATGATGGGGGGAGTTTCCCAAATAACCAGCCCTTGCTCTGTGCTCCTTTTCTCTCAAGAGCCAGGGAAAGGACCCAGGAAGGTGCTCATGCCTTGTTGGCAGGCGAGTCCCTCCTGAAGCCTGTTTCCTCATCTAGAGAATGGAGGTTGTGACCCTTTGCCCTTAGGTGACACGACATCTGCTAACTTGACAAAAGATGGAAGCTTTATACAAAGAAACAGAGATATTTTAGAGGCAGAAAGGGGCTCTCTAAATGGGGACTCAGAGGCAGGGCCAATGGCAGAGGTTGAGAGGATATATAAAGGCTGGCAGGGAGGGAGATATTCCAAGCTAGCAGACCCAGAGAGGATCTCTAGATGGGAATCAGGGGATCCCCCAAGGCTCCAAGGACACAGACTGAACCTGCCGAGGATGGCTAAGTGTGGAAGGGGGTAGGAGGGGAGCTCCTAGGGCCAGGCAATGCTCCAAGCCAGGGGTCAGCAAAACACAGCCCACAGGCCACATATGACCTGCTGTCTATTTTTGCAAATAATTTACTGGAACACAGCCATACTCATTCATGTATGATAGATATTTTCTACAGCTGTTTTCGTGATACAACAGCAGAGTGGAATAGTTGCAAAAGACTTGCCTCCAAAGTCAAAAATGTCTACCACCTGATCCTTTACAAAAAGTTTGTTGACTTTATAAATATTGTCATCTAATTTTTACAGCCCTTCTGTGTGGTGGGTACTATGACCCTACTTTACAGACAAGGAAACGGAAATGCAGAGTTAGGTAATTTGTTCAAAGCCACACAGCCCATTAAGTGGCTGAGCTGGGGTGGGTATACTCCCTGGCTCTGACCACTACCCTCTACTGCCTTTATGATAACTACCCTGGCCAGAGCAGGCTTGCTTCCCTGCTATACGCACACACACACACACTCTCTCTCTTTCTCTCAGGGCTGGAACCTTCTGAGGACAGTAAACTCAGCAGTAACCTTCCCAGCAGGCACAGCCCTGTACCCTTGTGGTCGCAGGTATGCAGGTGCATGTGTATAACTACGACAATTCCCATGTGCTGGGTCTTTCTATGGCCACTCCCAACCACTAATTAGCTCTCACCCTCCCAGCAACTCCAGAGGTACCACTGAGGAAATGAGGTGCTCAAGAAGGCTTGCCCATCCACAGCAGGGGTAAGTGACAAGCAGAGGCACAATAGGATCCACTGGTCTGTGTCCACCCCCGTCCCCCCGCCTCTCTCTATCCGGCCCCCTCCTTCCCCTGCCATCTAAGGAAGAGCTTTTCTCATCCCAGACATGATGGATTTCCCTGGGCTCTGGCTCAGACTTACTAGGACAGTTGCAGGTGCCTTCGCCGAGGATCTGCTCTGGGCCCGGTACAGGACCAGGCTTTGTGGAGTTACCAGCCGAAGGGGCAGGGGGCCATGGCCCTTGCCTCAAAGGGCCCATAGAAAGGCTGGGAGAAAAGATAAAGGTACCACCCCTATGGCTCTGTCAGGATGCTAGAGGGTAGGAGGTCGAGCACAGGAAACAGCACAGGTGCCAGTGTGGGCCAGAGCCGGGGGGCTGCATGAGGGCCTTGAAGGAACTGCCAGGCCATCCACCTCCTCCTGAGACCCTCCCCTGTGAGTGCTTCTCTAAGCTCCTCTCTCCACACCCAGTAAGCCTCAGGCTTCTCCTCAGTCCCCTCCTTGGTGCTGCTGACCTCTGGATCCCTGCCATACACGATTCTCTAGCCCTGACCCTCCACACCCCCTCCTCCCTTTCCACCCCACCCCCACGAGACCAAAAAAACACTGCTATTTAAGGAGCCATCTGAGGACTCAGCAGTCAGAGAAGCCGGCTCTTTTTCTTTTTTTTTTTTTTTTTGTCATGCTGGTTACCTAGCAACGCAGCCAATGCAACTGCTGCTCGGAAACCAAGAGAAGAAACGACCTAAATCACACCACAGAACTCATCCGTTATTCCTGCAGGTTGAAGTACTAGATATATTTATACCGCCCAGCCTCACCTTCTGGAAGCCTTTGGGGCACAATCGCAGATACAGAAACTTGATTTTCTCTTTAGACTTTGAGCAAAGGCAAGTCTGACCACTCCTGAGGGCTTCCTGGGACAACCAGGAAGACAGATTTGATGTGTGGGGTTCCCAAGGGAGGTGGAGAACGCCTTCCAGAACAATCTCCTGCTGTACCAAATGCATGGTGGGTGTAACCCAGCATCTGCTGCCTATGGACCCTCATGCATGAGGAACTCTCCAGTCACCTGTCTCCCTGCCTATACACCCATTTCTGAGCCCATCTTGCCAACTAGTGGAAGAGCCGGGCCAGGAAGACAGCTGCCTGGATGCTGGGCCAGTGCCAGACTGTGTCTGCACCAAAATGAGCCCAGCTGCTCAGAGGTAGAAGGCCCCTTACTTCCCAGGCTACCATGACGCTTCTCCTGAGCCTAGGAGAAGAGATTAAAGCTAACTTCCATGTGCACTGGATTTTTCTGAAGAGTCCTCGGCTTTCCTCAGCATCTCAAAGGAGTTCATGACTCCTCAAAGGGGTGCCAACCACTGTCCTGGCCCTGCCTTTTCCTGGCAAATGAGCACTGTCACAGAGGATTAGAGGGATTTTCTCTGTTTCTTGCAGGCAGGAAGAGGCTGCTCCTGCTACTGTGAGCTGTCTGCCCAGGTTCTGTTAAGTTCCATCCCCATCTCCTCCCTGCCCTATCCCTACCACCCTGGGTTGGCTGGTGTCTTCAAGACCTTCCCATCCTTGTCCCCATGTCATCTCCTCTGCCTCTGGTTCCTTAGGAGGGATCCTCTCATTCCCTCGTCCCTGGAGGGATGGGTCCTCACCCTATGTTCTGAATTCTCTCTGAGCCCTAGATAAGACCCTGCTGAGCACAGAGCCAAGAAGATCATGCTGTGACTTCAAGCTGCTCTGGGAGGGGAGGTATGGGAAGACAAAAAAAATAAAAAACCAGCAGAGGGGCAGGGAAGGCTCCCACTGACCCTCAGCTGGACTCCCAGCCTCTTCTGTCTGTCAGGCTGCTGCACTTTCTCCCTGTCCCCTCCAGGACCTGGCTTGCCTCGGATGTCGGGGCCCTGAGCTGGCTGGCACCCTCTGTGAGTGGAGGAGGCGCTGGCAAGCCCAGGGGGCCCTCCTCAGAGACGGCTTCTGTACCAGAAATGGAACGTGGCACAGATGGGCCAGGGGGGCGAGGAATTCCCTCAGCCCCATGAAAGGGCTCTGGGTATTTACAGCTCTTGGAACAATCTGCAAGCTCATGCCACCTTAGTTCCTGCTTTTGCAGCATCCTCAGCCCCAACACCCTCAGCACCCAGCTCCGGAAAGGTTTTCCTTTCATGGCACTGCTCAAAATAGAGGCTTATGTAAGTGTAATTCCGATCTGAGGAAAAACCAGGGGTGCAGGCACAGGGGCGGGTGGGTGGAGGGCAGAGGCATGCCCCAGCACCCCTTACTCTGGGAAGTGCCCTCTGGACTCTGACTCCCACCCAGGAACCCCCAGTTACATCAATTCTGAAGTTCTCCCCTCAAATCCCTGTGGGGGCTGCTGCTGGGCTCCACCCTCTAGGCCCTCCCTCTGGGCAGCCACCCAATCCACAGCAGCACCCTTCCTGATGTTCGGTGGGCGGGAAGACAGCCGCAGCCCAAGTGGAACGATGTTCCCCCACCTGGACCCACAGCTGTGCCTGTCTCATGCAGTCACAGCTATCAGGTCACCAGCAGAGGCGCTATGGTGCCCCCATTTGTGCACGTAGACCCAGAGAAAAGCACCCACAGACTCGCACCTACACACGGGCACACACGTGGCTCTTACTTGGCCTGGGATTCCCACAACGTGTCTGTGCAGCCTTCCCCACGCCCCTCACCCTCCTGGAGATTCAAACCAACCCCTGCCCTCTCCCCAGGCACCTAGCTCTAAGAACAGTCCCTCTGTCCACCTTGGGAAGGGACCTAAGGAGAGTGTGTATGCAACCCCCGACACCCCTTAAGCCTTACCTTCCCACAGGCCACCATAGAGAGGGCCACCTGGTACCAAAGGTGAAATTCTCCAAACGCAAACTTCATGGCTCGCTCCAGGCACTGGGGAGGGGGGTATGTCGCAGGGAGACAGTCAACACTCCCTCCCTCCACCACCACAGTCCTCCCCCCACCCAGCCATCCCACAGCCTTCCAGAGTAGTCACTACCCAAGCCACTCCCTTTGGGAAGCTGCATGAGGCCCACACTTGATCCTGTTAAGGCTCCAGGGGTAATCTACTCCCTGCTACTGGTATGCTGTGTGACCCTGCACATGTCTCTCACCCTCCCTGGCCCTTAGTTCCCATCTCCATAATATATGGATGATCTTACAGGGCAATCACAGGGTGAATGAGATAAGATTTGTGAAAGTGCCTTTGAAATGTAGGTATTCAACAAAAATAACAACTAACATTTATTATTATCGTGCATGGCACTGTTCTTGCTTTTACATGTACTCCTCTTTATATCCTGGAGAGGTGGGTTCTCTAATTTCCCAGATGAGTGAGCTGAGACTTGTACAACTTGCCGAGGTCAAGTGGCAAAGCAGGCTGGTAGGGAAGTGGCAAGTGGAGAAGGGGCAAACGGTGGCTCCGTCAGACTTTATGCACTGCCTGATTCCCGGGGAACTGGGCGGGCTGCACAGCTGGCCATACCTCTGAGAGCATGACGTACTGCCCCCTCCTGCCCAGTGTGATGCTCAGGAGGTCATAGATGGCCACAGCGTTCTGCAAGCTCACTGTCCGGTCCTCCTCCTGCTCTGGGACCCGGCTTAGCACCACATCCCGAGTAGCCTGTAGGTGGGGGTGGGACATTGTTTGGGAAAAAGTGAGGACAGAGATAGGCAGATGTCTGTCCCCACCTTGCTGACCCAGTCACTATCACCTTTTTGTCACTTGCCTTGGGTGAGGGAGGTAGCCAGACTCCTGATAACAGCCTTTTCCCATCCCCACACAGGCCCTCTCTAGAGAGAGAAAACGCTCACTCTTACTTAGCCCAGGCTGGGGTAAAGGAGCAGTTCTGAGCACCAAGTTCCAGGTACTCCATTTGTTATTCTATAATATTTCAAACCTACAGAAAAGCTGCAAGACCAGTATCATCACCATAAACCCGCCCTCAGTTGTTAATGTGTGTCACAGTTGCATTGCTTCTCTCTGTTACGTAATTATTATTGTCCCTCCGGAGAGTTTACTTTTTTCCACTCCCAGATCTGAGTTACAGTCACCCCCATGTTCAGGTGGCTGAGACTGTCAGTCTCCTTTAACCTGGAAGAAGGGTTCAGCCTTTCTCTTCCACGACCCTGGCATTTTAAGAAGAGGCCAGCTGCTTTGTGAAATAGTCCCTGCAGTGTTTGCAACTCTCTACAGTGAAAGCAAGAACTTCACATGTGACATGAAACCACCTGGATTTGGGAGGGCAGCTCTGCTCAACCCTTAGGAGGGAGCTCAGGCTATGGCTGGCCCCTCAGGACCCTCTTCAGCTCTCCAAGTCCCTTTGACAAGGATCCCTCCAGGACCCTTTCCATCATCATGTCTAGCCTGGACCCTAATCTTGGCTCCTGCCATTGTTGAATTCTCCTATCTGTCCCTCCCTAGGGAAAGCTCCCCCACACTCAAGGACTCCGTTCTTGGCATCCAGCACTGGGGATTTCAGTAGCTCCTAGATGCCAGATGGCTGCTGGGGGTGGGGGAGGAGAGGAAAATGTGCTTTATGAGTAGGCGATTCTGCATAATTTGAAGAGGGGAGCTCCTCACCACCAAGCCTAAACCCCCACTCAAGGCTGGGGACCCTCTTGGCCTGTGGTCTGTAGTGGGCAGCCACCCTGCCCACCTCCATACCACAGGCTCAGCATTTAGGAGGAAGGGGAAGAACGGGGTAGAGAAAGAGAAGCTACCAGGAGCAGGAGTCATGAGGGGCTCTGAGTAGCAACAGGATGGGCAGGCTAGGGATGCTCTGGGGCCTGAAGCAACCCTGCCCCAAACCCCACACTATGAGGGTTGTGCCTGAGCTGGAGCAGAGCTGGGCTCTGGCTAAATGCTCCTGCCGGCTGTTCCCAATGTCCTCCCTCCTCCTGCTCACCCCATCTGCCAAGGGGGCTCTTTCTTACACCCTTTCCCTCTATTTAAACCTCTTTCCTTGCAATGGACTCAGCCCCCTCTGTCTCTCCACTTAGGACCTCAGGACCAAGGACATGGCCTTCCTGGCAGAATAAAAAAGAGCTGCAGCCCTAGAAAGGATGTCACACCCATGCGATCCTTCCTGTCCATTAGATGGGTCTCATAGCCTCCCTCCATGCAGGACTACACGCTCCTCCTGCTGGTCAGGGGCTGGAGGGGCCTGGCTTGCAGATCCTTGCTGTGTCCTATGGTGCAGGGATGAAATGCATTCTCCTAGGAGCCTCTGGGAGCCAAACTCATCCAAGACCCAAGGAGATGGCTCACCCTGGGGGGCAACTCAGTCAACGAAGCAGACAGGAGGGTGGGGTCCCAATGGCTGCCCCTACAGCCACAATCAGTGAATGTTGCCCACTCCCCCAAGGACACAGACAGGCCCAGGAAAGGATGGTGGGATGCTTGGAAATCCCAGAGGGGTTCAGCACCAGCCTGGAGAATGGGAGCTGGCCAGGAACTCCAGAGAGTTAAGGGAGACAAGTCGAGAGGGAAAGTGCCAAGAAGTCCCCTCCTTCCCATGAGATCCACCCACATAGCCACTGCCACTGCCAGAAAGAGAGAGAAGGAACCCAAGCAGAAGCTTGGCAGGAGATGTTTCATGGAGCCACGCAGCAATACAGTCCTCGCTCTGGCCCAGGTGACCCACCTTCCCCTCCAGCTCCAGCAATTCCCCAGCTCTGGCCTCCAGAGTGGGCCCTCAGAGGTAGGGGCCTGAGAGGATGGGGACACAGAGTCCCTGGCTTCGGGGGGCCTGGAAGGAGCAGCAGTACAGGATGCATGTACCCGAGTGGAACTGAGCTGATGTCCGGTCAGAGAGCAAAGCCTTGCCAGAGGGGACGGGACAAGGCAGTTTGAGGGGCGCGGAGGACATCTGGACATCCAGCATCTGGGGACTGGCCCGCCTGCACAGACCAGAGGCTTTCAGGGGATGGTGAGCAGCCAGTGTGACATGGCCCCAAGGATCAAGTCTAAGCTCCTTTCTGTAGCTGCCCACCTGGCCAGCTTCTCTCCAGTCACAAGGAACTCCCTGCTGGTTCCTACTGTCACCACGGCCTGTCTTTGGTCATGCTGTGGTTCCCTCTGTCAACCTGGACACCTCCTGGTTCCTTACAACCCAACTTGAGTGCCCCTTCCTGCAGCGCTATCCGACTCCTGCAGCGCTATCCGACTCCCCTCCCAACACTGGCTGGGCCCTGGCCCCCCACCAGCTCTCATGGCAGGGCAGTGTCTTGCTCTCCTCGAGACGCCTGGCCCCTCACACAGCCTCACACACAGCTGGACTCAGTCCAACTTTGCAGAGCAAGTGACACTTGAGAGAGAAAAATTCTGGGCCTAGTGTGGAAATAACCCCATCTACCCTGAACTTTGACCTTTAAGAGAATAGTGTCTGGATATGTATCAGGTAGAAGAGAAGGGCAGATTTCCAGAACTTGGAGTTAATTAGGTCAGATGAATAAGACCAAAAGAGAGGGTCACAGAAGCATAAATCCTCAGGTTGGTGATGGCTCCCCCAACAGGTAGACGGCTGGCATTCTAGGGACATGTGAACTGGTACTTGTGCCAAGAGGACAGCCAGAAGCAGAGGATGGCCCAGTGGTTATACGGCTTGGGGCAGGGCTGCAATGAAATGTTCAGCAACCCTTATGTAACCATGGCAACAGGGTGGGGCGGGGGGAATCAGCACAGAAAGAAGGCAGACATAGTGCCTGGCAAGCAGAGTGAGCCAGGGCAGAGGCTCACTCAAGGGCCAGAGCTGCAGACACCCCAGGAGCTTCATGCTGCCCCCAGCACCCCCAGCCTCCTGCTCCCTCCTCCCTGGAATTGCTACCCTCAGGCCACAAAGTGCCCCCCCCACCAACTCTAACAAGGCCCTGAACTACTCCCAGGCCACCTTCTTTGCCTTTCACCATTTAAATGGTCTCAGAATTATGCTTTCACCAGATAAAATGCAGTAACAAATAGGAACATGACTATGACCCTTAAAGTAATGCACAAATGCTAAACCTTCTTCTTACCCTCCTCCTTACTGTTCTCAGAATAATGGCAAAATATTCTCCCCTGGTTTCTCCCTGCCTAGCCCTCACTGCTATAACCCCCATGCCTACCCCAAGATCCCCACCTCTGGGGATGTACAGCTCTCCTTTCATCCATCCATGCATTTAATCCCAGCAGGGCTCACAGAGTTGTCCTGCTCCTAGCCTTTGTCCCTCTGGCTGCTCTCCCAGGGCAGCTCTTCTAGACTAAAGAACATTCCCAGCATGGCTTCTGGCAAGTCAGAAGAGTGGAAGCTGAAGAAACAATGCTCCTCCCATACCTCCACCATCCAAAGCTCTGCACTGCCAGCATGACCCACTTCTGGGCTTCGGACAAGTATCCACAAAGCAAGCATGGGGCCTCATGGAAAGCCCACAAGGGAATCTCTATTTCTCTGGGGAAGGCTGGCCCACCTGAAACTTAAGGCAAGGGCAGCTCCTGATCAAACACCCAGCCCTATTTGTGCACCACACAGTACCCTTTTAAGAAGCTGAATTTTCACGTCCACCATCTGTTCTGGCCACCTCTGCCACTAAGGGTGCAGGAATAAAACCACTGAGCCCCAAAGGTGAACTGCTGTGTGCAAAATCCGGGGAAGTTTAGGCTGAACCTAGAGGCCAGGACTGCTGCTTGCCTGTGCTCTCCTGCCTTGGGTTCCTCTGATGCAAACCCAGTGTGGACCCTCTGCTGGCTGCAGGGCCTCAGATAGCACCCACCCTCCCTCCTGCCCAGGTTTCTGTTTCTCCTCTCCAATCCTGGTCAGTCTAAGAGAAGGAAAGGGAACTAGCTTGCAGAGCACCTTGTAACTCACAACAACCTTCTCGTGTACTATCATCCAATTATAGAGATGAAGACTGAGTGAGGATCAAGGAAGCCAAGTGAGCTGTCCAACCATACAGATGGGGGCCGGACACAGTACAGAACCCAGTTGGGCCTTGGGTGCTACATCCCTGCAAAGAACATGCTCTCTGGGCAATTAGTCCACAGCCCTGCACAGCCCCCCTTCTCAGAGACAGCCTCTCCATTAGCCAAGGAATGACCTCAGGAGCAACTGCTAATGCCCCCCCCCCCCCCGCTCCACCAAATTACCCCAAGAAGAAATCTCCTGGCAACACATGCCCAGCGCCTGCCACTCCCCTCACCAGCAGATATAATTACCACTGGCTCTTGACCTGCCAGCCCACAGAGGTGAGAAATGGCATGCTCTGCGACACGTCCTAGCTACCCAGTGACCCAGGTGGGGGCCACGCTACCCCCACCCCCCATGCTCCTGCAGTAGAAATCACAGCTTTTCTTGCCAGGAAGGGAGAGAGGCTCTCTCACTTCTACTGAACCAAGGGCTCCGAGCCGGCAGTGTCATCAGACCCTTTACCAGTGCAGCCTTCTGCAGAGCAAGGCCTGTGTTAGAGAAAATCAGGTGCCAAAAGCTGGAACAATCTGTGCTCATCTGCTGAGTCCCTAATGGAATCAAGCCCAGGAAGCACTTTTTTTTTTTTTAACTGAATTATCCTCAATCTAATTTATTTTCTCCTAACCAGATCTAAGTTGAAACATCTTCAGAAATGACTAGGGTAGAGCCAAGTATTTAT